AAAAGGGTAATTCCTTAATTATAGGTATTTATGTTTATTTCATAATTATAGGAATTACTTAATTGTAGGAAGATTTCTTTCCACTTTTTATCTCTTGTACTCGTCTATTTATAGGTGAATTATCTATGTATTCATTGAGAAAAAGAATTATTCAAAATTCACAATGCACAATAGAGGTGAGGCACAAATCACAAGCAAGGCACAAGATGCCAACACCAATAGGTGTCGGCGACGGAGAAGGAAGCCCCAAGGTGGATGGATAGTTTGGCAATGCAAATGTGGATGATTAAGGACAGCCCAATAAAATACACAAGAGAGGTGCAGCAAAAGGCAAATGCGAATAGGGTAGCCATGGCTGGGCAGCTAGAACGAAGCTACATGATCAGATGAGGCAAATACCAGGTATCATGTGCGCAAACAAAGCTCGTGCAACCGAATTAGAGGCATGTGATTGCGACTGAGAGCAAATGCAGCAACTATGCAAGCAACCGCACGAGTTCTATGAGCAAGTGGCAAGGCACAAAGAGGGACTGGCTGGGAGAATGTAGCTTAGATGAGGGTCGGATGACAATAAGGGTTGTAACAACTAGTGGGATGGGAGAAATAGAGATTACTTCTTCTCTAAAATGATCTGAAATTCTACGAAGTTTAATTAATACAGCACAAAAATTAGGAGATTATTTTAGATTTTATTTCAAATAACTAGGATTTAGGACTAATTACATTAATTTTATTTTATGAAAATAATTGGGAAATTGATAGAATTTTATGGTATGATTCTTACAGAGATCACTAACTTTCTAGACACACAACAACAAAAAAAAAGCCTGCTCCAAAGAATGTCCCCACCAAAAAGACACTTTGCTTTTCAAATCAATGAACGGAATCTATAGCTTAAGAAACAACTTAAAATTTTTCCAAGGTAATTTGAATAAACTAAAATGGTATTCAAGGGTTTTCAAATTACCTTATAATTTCTCGGAGATAAATATTTTCTAAGGAAAGGGTGAATGATAATTAGTAGTTTTGATAAGATGTGAACTTCGAAGTAACACTTCATCTTTGAATTTATCCTAAAAACTATAAATATTCTCAAAAAATACCATAACCCCAAAAAAAATTATAAAATTTGCACATTCCAACAGATGTAAATCTCAATCATAATGATCAGGCCAGCAAATTTTAATCCACGGGTCTACTTTGCATTAAATTTGTTTGCCTACTTTCAAGCCTTCCACACCCTCAAAGTTGTAAGTCCAATATTTGGGCCTTTCCTTTAGGTGCAAACCCTAACCCAACTAACTAAGCTCACAAAAGCTAACAAACATATCAGCTCAAACCCTAAATCATAGGCTTCGCATATATATCCAAGAATTCAGTCTCACTAACGAGCCTCCACAAGCATGTAAATCATGTAATAAACAATTCAAAGTCCAATGTTTATAATATGGGGTACATGTTCAAATGTCACAATGCTAATCTTCTTCCAGGTTATATTGAGTTCGTGATAAAGATACACTTGAGCCAAGTATGTAAAACCCAATCTACCCTTCTGCCAAAGATCACGACAGCAGTGAAACAAGGCCACTAAATACTAAACAAAAGCTATTAAACTTCCCTGTATCTTAGACACACTTAATTGATTCTTGAAACTCATCAAAAACTAATGATTGCCCCACATCTTTGTGTCAATCAAACATGTCTATCTATGAGTCCTACGTGGTTTATAAGTATGCATAGTATGGAAATGCTTTTCCCAATGAAAGAGTCAACATCAGCCTCAAAAGCAGGCCCCCGGTACACAATTTCACATAGGTCTATTGACGATATGTAAGAGGAAGTGATCCATAGTTGCTAATCAAGCTCCCTAGACATTATGACACAAAGCCCTCTCTGATGTTAACAGATTATGTTTACTGGGAAACTTGAGATAACAAAATCTTAAGATCTCAGTCAGGTATATCTACTTCCCCCAATTATTCCCATTGAACCAAATTAAGAATTAAATACTAAATCCAAATCTAATGAACTACATCAAGAATAATCTCCTATAATTGAGATGAGTAATTAATTATAAAGGCCTGCGACTATACAAAATCTTAATTGCGTTCTAAATAAAATTTGAACTAACATCATAAGATTATGATTACTAAGAAACTTGAGACGACAAAATCATAAGATCTTGGTCAGGTTTATTGTCCTCCCCAAATTATTCCCCATTGAATCAAATTAAAAATCAAATACTAAATCCAAGTCTAATGAACTTAATCAAGAATAATCTCCTAAGATCGATGGGTAATTAATTATAACTGTTTGAAGCTATAAAATCTAATTTGCATTCTGAATAAAATTTGATGTAAAATCCGAGAAAATATGATTAAAATGAATACAATCTACCTCAAGAAAAATCCCTCAAATTTTCATACACAATTATAGGAGTCGATATTATGAAGCATCATCCCTTAATTAATACAAAATTGCATAGTGGTAGTTTGTAAAATGGAAAATTAAACATGAATTGAGTGGCATGGGTAACTAGCCCAATTTTTAGTGGCATTTGTGTGGTAAATTCTTCTTAAACTTGGAACATTGCTTCTAAACTTTTACATCAAATTGCAACTATTTGGGGTAAGAATATCACTACTAAAGGAGTAACTAGAAATGTAAGCCAAAATTCAGAGATGGATGGAAGAATCAGTATCAAGCACCTGAGCTATGGCATAATTCGCTAGACAAAAAATAATAAAGATCTAGTGCCACCTATTGCGAAAGTTCAAATGTAATTCACAACTAATTAAATTAAGCAAAAATTTTAATCCAAACAATTTTAACAACAACAACAAAGCCTTAATCCCACTACATGGGGTCGACTACATAAATCCTTTTTCTCCATTGAGTCCTATTTAGTGTCATATTTTCATTAAGTTTTAATAAATTAAGATCATTTTTTATACAATAAGCCCAAGTCTTCTTAGGTCTATCTCTGTCTTTCTTTAACATAAGTCGAATCTAAAACATCTACTCTGCTAATCGGATCATTAGATGGTCGACGTTTAATGTGACCAAAACATCTAAAACGCCTCTCTCTAATTTTGTCCGTTACAAGAGCTACACCAACCCTATCAAGGATATGTTCATTTCTCATTTTGTCTCTAAGTGTAAAGCCACTCATCCACCTAATCATTCTCATCTCGGCAACACTGAACTTAGCATTATGCTTCTCTTTTAAAGAACAACATTCAGCGTCATAGAACATTGCAGGTCTCACCACCATCTTATAAAATTTTCCTTTCAGTCTAAGCAGTACTTTTATAACACACAAAAGGCCAGAAGCATTCCTCCAGTTCAACCAACCAACTTCAATTCTACTATTAGCATCCCCATCTATATCACCATCGCTTTGAACAACAGACCCGAGATATCTAAATCGTTCACACCTTTTAATAATTTGATTACCCAAAGTTACACTTCTGTCACTAGAGCTACTACTACTAAAATTACATTCCATATATTCAGTTTAGTTATACTCAAATGAAGGCCTTTAGACTCCAATGTAGACCTCCATAATTCAAGTTTTTCCTGGGCATCTTTACTTGTTAACAATTTCAAAATCATTAAATCCTAACTTGTTAACCGTAACCATCTTTACTTCAAAAAATCCTCATCTTCTGTGATGATTTTATAACGTACTGTTCAATGACATCAAGATAAAATGGTCACATCTAAAAATACAAAATACAACAACAAAATTGCTTGAGTATTTTTCTTTAAAGTTTCTAGCAAAGCCCATCTCAGTAAGCTAAAAAAAAGTTCAGTAAATTAAAAATATAGACAACCTGTTGAAGAGATGCACGCTCCACTCGCATTGACATACCCAAAGCCCTCTGATCTGTGACACAAAGACAGCGCAGTTGGTCAACAGAATTACTGATTTTTACTAATATTTGAAAAAAAGGGGCTGATATTGAAGGAAACTTACGTTTCTTTCCATTAATATGGTCCAGGTAGTTTGCTGAATCCTTCACAACACACTCACAAACTGAACAGTAGTAACCAGCCTATACAATATCACCTTAACACGGTGAATTGAGATTTCAGAAAATAACAAAAAAGGGAAAGAAAATACACTGATTGAATTTTAATAAAATTCAATAAAAATCATGAACTAATGGAGTACTACTTAGAAAAATAAAAATTTATAATAATAAAAAAAGTTTTATGGTACTTCAAAAACTGCTAGGAACAAACCACAAAGTTGAAAGAATTTTTGCAGGTAAAAAAAAATTATCCTATAATAAGAATTTCAAAGATGTTATTGCAGATGCAAGCCACGGTTATGCAATAAATTAATGTTGGGCGTGACATGACAAGTGCATTAAAGCTGAATCAACAAGTATTATTTCTTGGTTTGGAGTAGGAAACAGCCATTCGAGTATTAGCCAAGACAAGGAATGAACTCTTTTAATAGGTGTTAAAAGTAACTTTGATATTATGATATTTAAGATTGGAAAAACTAAGTACAGGTTAAGCATGACTTGGTAATTTGTACAAATTTTTTACATTTTGAGTTGCACCAGAGTTAAGAAACCAGAGAAGACGAAGCTGCTTACTTCATTATCTTCCAAAACTATGCAGGGTGACGGCAGCCTATCTAGACTCACATATGGTGGAAAAGCACATAATGCATCTGATGTTAAAGCAACTAATTAGAATAATTTGAACATGGGAGCTTCATATATCCTCAACTTTTCAAATCTAATTGGATTAACAGTCAAATTGTTTGTCAAATTCCCCAGATGTCATGTAAATCTCACCCTTCACTTGACGAGTAAATGGTAGGCCTAACCTAAGAGTGTGTTGAGAGTAGATTAAGTCAACTTTCCAAATTCCAGGTACTCGCATAAAGAGATATGCAAGAATTTCTTCAAAAATTCTCCCTGAATGGAAGGGGAAGCAAAGAAACTATAACAAAAATTTATCATTTCCTTTGCCTGATAATTGGTAGCAGGGTAGCTAACTTGCCTACTTTATGTGCATACAATCCTTTTGGAAGGAAATTTAAGTAGTTAAGCCCTCAAGTTCTAAGCAGAGAAGAAAGAAAGATTTAAGAAAAAATGAGAGACAATAATCACCTGCTGACTTAGTGGTGCAATTGGAGTGACAACCTGCAAAAAAAAGAAAAGCAAATGAAACAAGTTAAATGTAAGAAAAAAAATTCAGGGGAAAAAAGTCATAATATAAAAATTAAATAGACATTGTAACGAATCTAATGGATTCCAAGAGAATAGGGGAAAATTAGGAGCATGCAGGTGTGACTGGAAATTTTTTATGGTGTACATAACCAAAAACTGTACAGCAAAAAAATAATGCACATTAAATATTCATTACCTCGATATCAATGTACTTCAAAGAATAAAGTGTCAAAATAGTGTAAGGTCATAAGATCCATTATTAAATTTTCTTATTCTTCAAGCTTGTAAGTCTTGCTTATGGACAAGGATCCCTAATATACCTCCCATTATCACACATAACACCTGCCCACAGCCCCTTCACAGGCATAGCCTAATATTGTAGTTATTCCTATGATTGAATAAAATAAGTACACACTCAGGAATCATCAAAAAATTACAAACAATAGACACGCCTATTTGCATGATTGTCAATCATACCCATGAGGTCCAGAACATTATTTTTAGAAAAGTTTTTTAAGGATTTTGATAATTCAGCAGAAATAAAATTTAGAAGTCAATTATAATATGCATACAGTATGGTAAAAAATTATAACCTGAGTCTTCCCAAGTCGTGACTCAAGGTCAACCTCATAGTCTCGGTGCTTTAGAGGTTTTCGTTGGATTGGAGGAGCTTTTCCTGAAATTTAAAGAAAAAAAAAAAAAACTGTAATATGGTGCCATAAATTCATCAGAAACATGCAAGAATTATCATTTAAAATTGAAATATAAATATATATTGAAGAAATCTAAAAACTAGAATATCAAACTTGCCTTTAGGCTTACTTCTAGCCTCCTCTTCCTGTCACAAATAGGACAAAAAGTTAACCAGAAATAAGGTACTTTTAGCACCAAAACATACTGCAGGTATTAGATTGGACCTGTTGCTCTCTTTCACGAGCTCGTTCCAAATACTCCTCTCGGTTAAATTTTCTTCTAAAGGTGTTGTCCACACCAACTGGCTATAGAAATTAGACAATAGTATCAAACGAAAGCTAAAAGCATGAACAAAGCTTCGGACTTAGATGGCGAAACTAAATATAATAATGTGAAGTAGTTATAATGAGTAAACTCACATTGCTTCCTGACTGAGCCATTGCAGAGTTCGTCTATATTGCTCAGCAGATCACCCTTTTATGTTGAGGACAATTACAAAAAGTAACATAAAACAAAGTGATTGTTCTTCTCCGCAGAAATTTGATGTCTCCCTTCTCCCTTGTGTGAAAAGAACGGAAGCTTAAGTTTGGACTAGAGTATGAAATGATTGAAGTTTCTTAAATTGTAAACAGTCCAACTACAATGAAAAAATAATGTTAGGATGGGTGTGGAAGAACAGGCGATTACAGATTTAAAAAATATTATATAAGATGGACATAGGGGGTAAAATCTATTGATAATATGATGATTAAAAATATATTTAGGTGATTTGGGCATGTAAAAAAGTATAGAATACGAATCAATAGGGCGGGTCAATCCTATCAAAGAATAGGCTCAACACCAAAATCAGCAGTAAGTATACATGGAACATAATGCTTTAGAAAGTCAGCCCCTCATAGTTCGAATAATATTAATGATTATGATCATAATGTATTTAAGTGCTCCGAGTTTTCTAATACTTGTAAACAATATCAAACAACAACAACAACAACAACAAGCCTTCGTCTCACTATGAATCTTTTTTCTCTTAGTTTTCTAATGCTTGTAAACAATAGCACCTGTCATTAAAATAGTTAAAATGACAATCTTTCTTCTTCTACTCCTAAGAAATCTTAAAATTAAAGAAAATAAAATATGGCAATTATCTTGACCTCATTGAAAATGTCAATTGGATGCCAAACATAGGAATCTGGGTTTTCCTTAGCTCCATGAGATGAAGTCACATTACTCTCCTGGTATGACCATAACCACCGAAAATTCATCAAACAAGCAATGACCAACCAAGCTTTTGGAAAACAAACTTTGGTTTAATGCTTGGTGGTTGAAGAACCAATCAAGTCAACCACAACTGAGTTGCATCCAATATAGGTCAATACTTTGATCCACTAAAATTATATAAGTGTGTGAATGAACAATTTTAGCTTGAATGTTTATCTGGCGAACCAAATGAATCCAGACAGCATTTCTGGGTTACAGGCACCAGTTGCATGCTTGGATATGGGTTGAAAAAAAAAGGATCTTGCTCTACTATTAATCACCAAAAGATATTTTTAACAAATAAAAACTATTTGATCAAAAAAATGTTCCATACTAACTAAACATTAATTTACTAACCAAAAATTGTTTGGAAAACAAAGCTAGATGACAGATGTATGCAAGAATGCTTTTGTTGGCCAATTCTTTACTATAAATTAGTCAGACGAAAAATAGATTCTCCCTTTTTTCAAGAAAAGAAGAAGATTTTGAAGTTTGTGGTGCAGTGCTCCTACTTTTAGGTCGCATTTTCCCAACTATTTGGGGTTGGCATTATGAATCCTCACCTTCCAATATTCCCATTAGAGTGTTCTTTGATGTGTTGCATGTATATTTTGTAAATCCTTTTTTTATCCCTGTAACTTAGAAACTCGACTTTTCCTTTCCAAATCCCCAGGACACTTAGTTCATCAACTCATCGAACAATAATATTTCCTGCAAACCGCCTATTTCTACTTTTAGTTGTCTTATCTTCAATAGATGTAGATTTATTTTTTCTCTAATATAATATTTCATTAATTTATCCTTCATAGTTTTAGCACACGTCAATACTGTATTCTTATTTCTATCACACCTAGTTGAAATATTAATCACTTATTATAACCCAACATTTCAATCCATTTAGCATTGTCAACCAAGTTGTGGATTTATAAAATTCGCATTTAAGCCTCCAAAAATAATTTCTTATCACACAACTCAAGCAATTTTTTTTTAACTATTTAATCATACTTTCAATTACAGTGGCGATGCCATCCTCTTTTTTTAGGGGGAAAAGCTGCCCCTAGACTCAACGTGGGAGGGCTCAGGTCAAAAAAGAGCAAAATGATATTTTAGGAGGGGTAAAACTGATATTTCAAAAGTGCAAAATACCAAATTACTCTCTCATATAATCCAAAATCTGAAATTAAGGGGTTGTAATTGTCCCCCTGGACCCTAGCTGAGTCCGCCCCAGCTCTAAAAATTATATTATCACCTATATTTATATTATGCTATATAATGAATTCTAGATGCTTGAACAAATCACATCTAGGCATCAACTTATATTTTAATAATATTGAATAATAATCGGTAACACCATAGCATCAAAATTACAAGTCATATATTCAATGTGTTATGATATTTCTAAGGTTTCAATATCAAAATTTTCTCGATTTTTCTAATTTTCAACTTAATTTAGTTTATGTATCACTAATTAGAATTATAGAACAACAAAAGGCATGCACTAAGGTAACTTGCTTTGAATATCTTGTTTAACATCTCCATAGCCAATACCAAAAATAAAAATAAAAAATGTATTCAGCGTTAGTTAATGATGCAAACTGACTATGATTAGAAATTTTTTAGTCACACCATTATTACATATGATACTAATCAATACACTATTGTAAATATTTTTAATATTGTCAACATATACTTGAACGTGACATTTATACCTTATAACATACAAAAGTTATTCCTATGGTACACAACCATATGCCTTCACAATATTAAAAAAAAAAAAATCAAGTGAAGGCCATTTGCTTACACTAAACATATCTTAACACAAGAATCGCTTCCATAATAGATATACCTAACATTAAATTATATCAATTCTCTAAAATTGATGCAGTTTTTCAAAGTTTAAATTTCATCACTCTTCCAATAGTTTCACTATATGACTAAAAAAATTAATTCATCTATAGTTCGCACAATTTTAAATATAGTCTCTATTGTTTTATCAAAACATTTCTTCTTCGATCTTCTTGCATTGTTTCATTTTTAAAAGTTCTATTAAAAAAATTTGATAACTAACCCGCCACAATATCCCCCGTTACTCTCCGAATCTCAACAGATATGTCATTTAGAGTAAGTCCATCCTTATGGAACTTTTTTAGCGTTAATTCCATTTTTTTTAGATTAATGTATAAAATATTTCACAATATTATTTTAAACAGCGTTGTTAAACTGTATCTATAGTTCGTTTGGGGCAGCATATAAGTGTGAACGGCGTTTTGAAAACGCCACCGTCTTGTTTGGTACGCACTTATTCCCAGCTTATCGAAAACGGCGTTTTGGAATTTGTAAAAGACGCGGCCCCCACGGGCCTCATTTTCGATAGGATTATTACTCCCGTGACCCTGCCCTCATACGCATCCGCCCTCAATCACATCTGACATTTCTCCTTCGCATTTATCATGCCCTAAGTGCTTATCCTTTTACGATCTGGTGTGTTTTCCCTTTTCATTCTTCGGCATCTTCACTCCTTCGACATTTCCTTCTTCGGCATTTGTACTCCTGCATTTCTTCTCAACAGGTATAACTCTTCTTTCGCATGTCTCGTCTTCCTTTTTCGTCCTTTGCAGTCGTTCGAGAAATGTGGTTGGATCTCTTTGTTTTTTTTTGTGGATCTGCAAAGCGACAGATAAGAAATTTCCGTGGATGTGCAAAGTGACAGTACTTCGTGAAATATCGATGATGATTTTTTTAATTGAACTGCAAATCACAGTTGTTTGCCTGACTGAAGATCTGAAATTTATCTCATGTTTGCGTTGACAAAGAGTTGAATGTAGAAACTTGATATGTTAAAATTTACGGTCTGTTTGTGTGGAGGAATACTCCTTGCAATTTGCTGACTTTATATTGTGTGGAGGAATATTATTTGGAATTTAAGGATATTTGTAATTATCTTCACAAAGATTTCCTTTTTATGTTTTCAGAGTAAAATATTTTGGTTTAAGGGCTATTGCCTTTAATATGCAACATTCGCTTACAAGATTTTTATAAATGATTTAACTATTGTGGATTAACTTGTTGGTAGATGTATATGCATTCTGCATATATTTTCTTCAAGGGTTGCAATGAAAGTATACACATCTATTCTTTGAATCTCATTTTGCTCTTTATCCTTAACACATGTTGAACCCCTTAGATATGAAATTACTAGATCTTACTCATTGTTTGCGGTTTAAGTTGTGACCATCAGATTTGGTCTGAGAAAATTACAAGAATTTTCAGGAATGATTGTATTAATGATGGTATTATTCTTGTATTTTGTTAGCTTTTTATTTTTTGGAAGCTTTACATATATGCCACGCGATCCATATAGATTTACATGTCTAAAACCTAAACTTCAATTTATACATATTTGTAAGTTACCTATGCTTCAAAATGTGTTATACCAATGTAAACACAAATGAATTGGATGGTTATAATGTCAAATTCTCTTTATTTATTAAAGTATTTCTGGATTGAAATAAGGAGCTAAAATGACATTATGATATCACCAAATAAACATACATTCATCATTAAGAGAGCTTTTGAAGAGAAATGATTTTTTGTTTTCCTATGCATTCCAAAAATTGGTTATGGTTAATGCGGTTTTGATAAGAGGAATTCTTGTTTTTTTTTTATGTAAGGAGAACATATTTTTTTAATGTTTCATCAATATTATTTGCACTAACATGTCTACCATATAAATTACTTATCTCTCAGTTGAGACATTTTTTGGTATGAAAAGAAGTATTTTGTGTTTATCGTTAATCTGACAGAACTCAATGAGTAAAGCTAAAGAAATCACTATTATATATTGTGATATATATGTCTGAAAGAGGTCGAAGTGGTAAATAGACCCACCACGTATTTTAACAAAAAATGATGTCAAAATCTTATGGTTAAATTTAAGGAAGCGACCGAAAGGGATTACGACCGGATGAAACTAAAAACAAGTAGAATCAATTAAAAAAAGATTGTAAAATATGGGAAAAAAAACTCAAAAGAGGATCAATAAGAATGGGTTGAGATCCAGCAAAGTCGATAATTGATGCACCAAAGAATTGGTAGGCTCAGAAATTACAGGTAAATAAATATCTAATATTATTTTATCTTTGATCAAATTTCACACTAAATTTAAAAGATTTCACTAATAAAATTTTAAATTTATTTCAAACAGTACCGTCAGCAAAAAAAATTTAAATTTATTGGCATTAATCCAGTTTTGGAGGAGAAACTAGATGAAATGTTCATTGGGGTTGTCACAACAGGAGCTC